ATCAGTATACTGAGCATGTGAGGAAGTGGATAGTAAAATCCTTTGTCTTCAACAATTCATGTGGCCTGCCATATGAAGTGATCCTGAATATCCTGTGTGCTGATTGGTCTGAGGAATATAGGAGGGGTTATACTGTATGGGAGGAGATATGCTGTTAACAAAAGTCTAATGCACCAGGTATTTGTCCCTCAGAATTTTGGAACAGGAGTTCATCTGAGACCCGATCGGTAATTCCGCGCTGGTCACTCTGTCGAAACTGCTGTGACCAAAGTATCCAACGATTTAATTGCTGCTAAATCTCGCGGCCAATACTCTATCCTATTCCTCCTTGATCTCTCTGCCGCCTTTGACACTGTTGATCATCAACAGCTTCTTCACATTCTCCGTAACTTTGGTCTACGGGATTCTGCTCTCTCCTGGTGCTCCTCCTACCTCTCCCAGCGCTCCTTCAGTGTTTCTTTCTCTGGCTCTGCCTCTTCTCCCCAACCCCTCCCTGTCGGCGTCCCCCAAGGTTCTGTCCTCGGCTCCATACTGTTCTCTATCTATACTGCCTCCCTTGGTAAACTCATCAGCTCTTTTGGCGTCCAATACCATTTATATGCAGATGACACGCAAATCTACCTGTCCTCCCCTGATCTCTCTCCGCCCACCTTTACTCGTGTTTCTGACTGCCTCTCTGCTATTTCCAACTGGATGGCTGCTCACTTCCTTAAACTCAACCTGTCCAAAACAGAACTTCTAGTTTTTCCTCCCTCAAGTGCTGCTACTCCTGTGTCTGTCGCCATCCAAGTCAACGACGCTACTATCACCTCTACCTCCCAGGCTCGCTGCCTAGGAGTTCTTTTTGATTCTGATCTCTCTTTTACTCCCCATGTTCAATCGATAGCCAAATCCTGTCGCTTCCAACTCAAGAACATAGCGCACATCCGCCCGTATCTAACGCCGGACGCGGCTAAGGTACTGGTTCATGCTGTTGTTCTCTCTCCCCTTGACTATTGCAATCCCCTTCTCACCGGTCTTACATGTTCCCAGCTTGCACGGCTGCAATCTATAATGAATACGGCTGCGAGGCTTATTTTCCTGTCCGGTCGCACCTCCCACGCCTCCACGCTCTGTCAGTCCCTGCATTGGCTTCCAGTTAGATATAGGGCCCAATTCAAAATTCTGGCGCTTGCTTACAAATCCCTACATAATGCTGCTCCAACATACCTATCTTCCCTCATACACAAGTATGTTCCGACGAGACCCCTGCGCTCAGCCCAAGACCTACTCCTATCCTCTGCCCGGATCCCCACCTCTGATGCTCGCCTTCAAGACTTCTCCAGGGCTGCACCTATTCTGTGGAACTCCCTTCCCTCCTTAATCAGACTTTCACCCAGCCTCCATTCCTTCAAAAAATCTTTGAAAACTCACTTCTTCATTAAAGCGTATCAATTAAACTGTCAGCAGGTTTCTCATCCCCCATCCCATGACTCCGTTCCTTCACCTGTCAAAAATGACCTACCAAGCACTCAATAAACCCTTCTGTAGCAAACTATTTAATTCCCCTACTTTAACCCTTTGTGTCACTATACCCCACTCCCTCTAGCATGTAAGCTCATCGAGCAGGGCCCTCAACCCCCTCTGTTCCTGTACGTCAGTGGTCTGATCTCAATTATGTGTCTGTTAGTACAGCGCTATGGAATTTGTTGGCGCTATATAAATAAGAAAATAATAATAATAATAATAATAATAATAAGGACTCCTCACTATCTTGAAAAAAGCCCCCCAAGCATGTGTGAAATGCGTTGATGCTGAGGACAAAGCTTACATTTATCTACCTTCTCCCCGGTACCAGCAGCACATATCCAGCGGTTTGCACTTCACATGGTTCCAGCTGCTCTAACAGAAGGTTAATACTGGCTTATCTATTCACTGCTCATACTGCATGTACTGGACTTAACAGTGGTTACGAACATCCTTTATACCACTTTCATTATTTTAATCATTTCTATATATTTTTCTACAAGGAATTTTTGTTTTTATCTACTTGATGAATAAATTGTGTTTGAACTTTCATTTGTTTGAAGTAATTTCCACAAAGAAATTACTACAATCTTGAACTGTGGATTTTCTACATCATTTCACTTCTGACCACAATATATTTTTTCATTTGGTCAGTGTATATTGACCACTTTGGAGGTGAATCAGTATTAGATTTACTATATCCTATTTCATTTTCATTTTTATTAAGGGGGAAACTACTTGAAGCGCTGACACTTTGTAGAATAGTTGTGTTTGAAGGTTTATAGGAATCACCTTTCATGTGCTTAGCAGCTTTTACTCCACTAGTTTTAATTTGTGTTTAAAGATTTTATATTGCGCTTTTTTGATTGTGTTTTACACAAGTTTACAATATAGCCTGTTTATGAGCAAAGTTTGTAAAACTTGTTTAACATGCCCATGATGAGTCTTGAGATAGGTGTAATAAATGAGTATATCATCCAGATATACCAATACGAAAGTATAAATGTAGTCTCTGAGAACATCATTAATGAGATCCTGAAATACGGCTGGAATATTACATAAACCGAAGGGCATGACAAGATATTCATAGTGACCATTTCTTGTGCTAAATGCAGTTCTACATTCATGTCCTTTGTTAATCCTTACCAAATTATATGCACTCCTAAGGTCGAGTTTGGTAAAGACCTTAGCGCCCTGGAGTCTGTCAAACAATTCTGAGATAAGGGGAATGGGATAAGCATTTTTGATGGTAATCTTGTTCAATGCCCTATAATCAATACATGGTGGTAACTCTCTATCTTTCTTGGATACAAAAAAGAACCCCGCACCTGCAGGTGAAGAAGACTTACATATGTGACCTTTTTGTATAAACCCTTTAATGTACTCCTCCATAATTCTACTCTCCTGTGGTGATAAGGTATATACTTCCACTTTAGGGGGTATAGTGCTAGATAACAAATCTATGGAGCAATCATAGGATCTGTGAGGGGGTAGTGTATCAGTGTGACTTTTATTCAACACTTCTTTAACCTCCCTATAATGCACAGGAATTTCAGTAGACTGAGGCGAAGGAGTAGGTAGATTAACAATACCCACTCTCTTAGTAATAGGTAACATACATTTCTCTCTATATTGTTTACCCAATTCCAGTATTTCCCCTTTAGCCCAAGCAATACGAGGATTATGCTTAGCAAGCCATGCAAATCCAAGTATAATGGGACAAGACGGGGACGCAATTATCTGAAATGTGATGATTTCATTGTATAACACTCCTATCGTGACAGTGATAATAAGAGGCTGAGAGAGTGGTCTCCCATCAATGGCCTTTGACAGCCATGGGTGAAGATCTATTCTTGGTGGGTATAAGGTGTTTACTGGCAAATTGCATGTCAATAAAGTTTTCTGCAGCACCTGAGTCAATCAGGGCATTACATGTAAAACTTATCTTATTGCATTGAGCAGCAACACTAAAGAGAAATCAACTTTAGGTAATAGCAGGGGACAAATAGATCACACCTAAGGACGGTCCCCTGATGGTTCTTAGGTGCGCACGATTTCCAGGAATATGGGACTAGCATTTCTTATTTGTCCTTTTTCTGCCACAGTATAAGCAAATGCATTCTTTTCTCCTGAACTGTTTCTCTGCCTCTGACAGTCTCATAACCCCTAACTGCATAGGTTCAGGTTCAGACTGCACAGAAGTGCCAGGGACAACAGGATTGGAGAAGCGAGGTGCCAGTGACATATTCTTATGTCTGCTTCTGTTTCTAGTTATCTCCCTGTTCCTAAGTCGGTTATCGATATGTATCACGTAAGTGGTTTATTCATTTAACCTCCCTGGTAGTTCCTTGGCTGCAATTTCATCAAGGATAGCTTTGGATAATCCCTCTGCAAATGCAGTGATTAATCTGTTATTAGGAAATTTGGTGCAGAAAGAACAAATCTTGCGGGTAGCATGAATGTCAGAGGCCGGAACCCAAGAACGTTCGGCAGGCTCATACCCCCTCCAATCAACTACTGTAAAATGCCACGAGAAAACCTGGAATCAATTATGGAGGAGACCTCATACTCCTCCTGTCCAGAAACAATCAATGGAGGAGGGGGAACACTTGGGACAGTATATCTATTGCAAACAAATGGTTTGAGCAAAGAAACATGAAATGTATTAGGAATACGCAAGGAGGCAGGGAGAGGCAGAGAATACGAAACAGGATTAATTCAAGATACGAAATGGACCAAGGAATCTGGAAGCAAACTTCATGCTAGGAACTTTTAGTTTGATGTTGTTGCGCGATGATAACCACACCCTCTCACCCACTTGGTAAACAGGGTTGGCACCCCGCCGTTTATCAGCCTAAAATTTGAAATGATCAACCGCAGTTTCCAGAGCAGAGTGAACTTTGGTCCAAGTATCACGAACAGAAGCAAGGTGGTCATCCAAAGCAGGGATAGCTGTGTCAGAAAAAACAGCCGGCAGAACAGTAGGATGATGACCATTATTAACAAAGAATGGACTATGTCCAGAAGAGTCATGGTTAGCATTGTTCCTAGCAAACTCGGCCCAGGGTAGTGCTATTAACAAAACAATGCAAATATAATTCTAATGACTAGTTAGCCTTCTCAGCCATGCCATTGGTTTGGGGATGGTAAGAGGAAGAAAATGACAATTCAATACCTAACTGTTTGTAGAAAGCCCTCCAAAACCGAGAGACAAACCGAGAACCCCTGTCAGATACAATATTGTGAGGAATGCCATGCAGTCAGACAATTTCTCGTATAAAAATAAGAGCCAGGTCTTGTGAGGATGGCAACTTTTTGAGTGGAACGAAATGAGCCATCTTGGAAAAGCGGTCAACCACCATAAGGATGGTGGTATAGCCATTAGAACTAGGAAGTTCTACGATGAAATCCATGGACAAATGGAACCATGGAACACTAGGAATGGGAATTGGGTGCAACAATCCACATGGAAGTTTATGAGGTACCTTAGAAACTGCACAAACTGAACAGGCCTGTACATATTCCTTAATGTCTTTCCTGAGAGAATCCCACCAAAATTATGTCAGAATCACAGAAATGGATTTATTAATGCCTGGATGCCCAGCAGTCACATTGTTGTGGAACACCCTCATGACGTTTTTCCTTTCAATCAATGGAACAAATAATTTATGCAGTGGTTTATTGCCTAGTGCCTGAGACTGAGCCTCAATGATAGCACCAACCAGAGGGAATGACAGGGAAAGAACAGTGGAAGCAATGATACATTCAGGTGAAACAATAGGAGGTGTCTCTTGTTCTTGTACTGATTCAGTGTCAAACTGCCTAGATAAGGTGTCTGCTTTCACGTTTTTGGGACCAGGTCTGTATGTTATAAGGAAGTTAAAGTGAGATAAGAACAAAGACCATCTAGCCTGTCTAGAAGACAGTCGTTTAGCATCACCTATATAAGCCAGATTTTTCTGGTCAGTAATGATCAAAAGGGGGTCCTTGGAACCTTCCAAAAGATGGAACCCTCTAAAATATATCACCACTCTTTAAGTGCTACTATAATGGCCAACAATTCCCTGTTACCAATTTCTTAATTACGCTCAGCTGGAGACAATTTTCTAGAGAAGTACCCACATGGATGCAAAGGGGTCTCCTAACTCTCCTTCTATGAAAGAACAGCCCCCACCCCAGTTTCGGAGGCATCAACTTCCAGTATGAAGGTCTTGCTAGTGTCGGGATATACCAAAATGTCAGCTGAAGCAAACAATTTCTTAAGAGTTTCAAAAGCTTCTCTAGCTTCCTTAGACCATATCGTACAACTAGCCCCCTTACATGTCTGTGATAGCCCCCATGGTGATGGCTATCACAGAAGATAACCCTTTGATAAATCTCCTGTAGTAATTAGCAACCCCAATAAATCTTTGGATGGATTTTAGTCCATTGGGCAATGGCCAATGTAGAACAGCCACTAGTTTATGAGGATCCATCTGAAAATCAGTGGCAGAAATGTTATACCCCCAAAACTGGTCAAAGATGCATTTTTCAAGTTTGCAATAAAGTTTATTTTTGAGTAATGTTTGCAACACTTGTTTGACATGTTTGTGGTGAGTCTATGGGTCCGGGGAATAAATAAGGATATAATCCAGGTAAACTATGACAAATGAGTAAATATAGTCCCTGAGTACATCATTAATAAAGCCCTGGAACACAGTCAGAGCATTGCATAACCCAAAAGACATGACCAGGCACTCATAGTGTCACTTCTAGTGTTAAATGCCGTTTTCCACTCATGATTCTCCTTAATCCTTACCAAATTGTATGCACTCCTAAGGTCAAGTTTAGTAAAGACTTTAGCACCTTGGAGTCTGTCAAACAATTCGGAAAAAAGGGTAATGGGATAAGCATTTTTAATGGTGATTTTGTTTAATGCTCTGTAGTCAATGCATGGCCGTAATTCTCCATCTTTTTTAGATACAAAAAAGAACCATGCACGAGCAGGC